TTAAATAATCCTTCACTGTATTTAACTATATATCTGTAGTTGTGTTAATACTAATGTTAACATGAACGGTAGAGATAATGCTTATAAACAGTAATTAATTGTATAACAATATCATTAATAATATTAATAAATAAGTTAAATAAAATAGACCATTAGAAATACTCCTAATTTTGTAAATTTTACTGTTATCGAATTTCCTACTTTGTATTCGATTTTGAAATATGAAAAGGATTAATGGATTCTATATTCTGTTTAAATTCCGTAAAGCGATCGGTACTATCTCCCTGGATTTAGCATCCTGAACATTTGGTTATCGAATACAAGAACGTGTGGTAAGATAACCGCATTAAAATCGCATTACGTAATAATACTGCGTTAAAGTTATTTTACAGTGTCCATGCAAAACACATACACATTTACAAAAAAGTAGTATAGCTTAATGTTTGTAGCATTAAAGTATAATGTACTTTGCGTTCTTCTTTTATTTATCATTTATTTATTTTACACTCGTCAAGTGTCAACGCAATTTCCAATTATATTTCTTTGCATAAATGCAATAGTATGTACGTTTTACAATTACTGATTCGTCATGGTAACAACACAGTTGGTTTCCATTATATGATATACTATAGGAAATCACAAAAGGTGTGTTTCTTCTTAGATCAAAAACTAAATCGTTCTAAACGCATACAACATATTTCATGTAAATAGTTTCATATGAAATTGTTTCAAAATGACTTTGACAGTGTTGATCACATCTTAATAACAGCATTCCAAAAAACAATTTTCAGTATTTAAATTGCTGCTGTATATAAAACAATACGTTCTAGAAATCGATGTCTTTTGAGACATAGTGTAACAACTCTATACAACAGTTCGGTATCGTTGGAACAGTATAGCTGTATCAATTCCAGGATAATGGATTACGAGAAGATCTCTCCTTAGAAAGTAAGACGGTCCTCATCGAAATTGCTAATTCAAGGATCTAGTCTTCAGTAGTTTCGATAACCTATTGAAGATACCCCCCAACTCTCTAAAAAAGAGATACCCCTCGTTTATATGGTTTTATAATATTCGCAACTCTATATTATTTTTTGTCTACAATTTATGTATAATTTTTAATTATTGACGTGACACGATGCGCAATACGTTACATCATGTAAATCCAGTTACATAAAATCTTTGGCAAAGGCATGATTAATCATTGACCCATGATTCTGTAAATATGTATATAATATTATTATATTCCATAAACAGCTACTCGCCATTTGTCATTGTTTTTTTTACATGATTTTGATTACTTCCAGTATGAGCATTTGGGAACGATCTTGCTCGTGAAATGCACCAGGTCGACATTATTTAATATATGTTGATATTGTTATCAACCGACACTGTCTCCCATTACTTCTGTTTCAGTTTCGTGTTCTGCATGTTCCAATTCTTCATTTGTTTCAGTTTCGTCATGTGCGTCTACAAATTCCTGTTAGCAAAGATTAAAAAAACAATTAAATTTGCGACAAACAAAAAGGTGCAAGAAAAACTACTAATATCAAAGTAAAGTTATGTATTATGCTGAGACGTATCATATTTAAATCTATTGTAAATTAGTGTAATTTCTATTTTTTCAAATTTTGATAATGCTTTTACCTGAAGAAAAAGAATTATATATACTTTTCAAAACGTATCAATCTTGGGCTAAAAAATATATATTTACAATAATTTAATATTAATAAATATAATTAATAACTTGAAAATAAAGTTTAGCGAACTGAACATCTATTAATTGCTTGCAAAACCTTTTTTAAAACGATTGAAAACAATTAACAGTTATGGACGAAATAAATGCCGTCCATGAATTTATCAAAAAAAAAAAAAAAAAATTGTACTATTACTATTATCTACTAATATTAATTTTATACTTGATATTTTGTTTTAAGATATTTAACTTTTTCATATTTTTATTCCTTATCATCATTGTTTTCATTTTCTATTACAATGTCTTTATAATAATTTTTTTCCGGATTTTAGGTATTTTCAGTTATACAGATCAATATGTTTTAAACGCTCATGCAAATAT